GACGCTTTCTTGAATGGCATCGCTTGCAAATTTTGGTGTGAGATACAGAAACAAAATAAGTAATTATGATACAAACAAAGACAAAAAATTTATTAAGGTTTGTACATTGTAATTTGTAAAACACACATCGTTGGTGTTAGTGTTATGGTAGATCTTCGATAATCTCTGTTAAAATTCTGCAATCGTCTAGATTTGGGCGATGAAGTGTATACTGTTGGTGTTAATGTTATGGTACATCTTCGATAATCTCTATTTAATTTCTTCACTTGTTTAGACAGTATGTTTAACATAAGTGTGGGGGTGTTGCTATGGTTTGTGTGTACGTGGCTGTGTTTATTTGTAGATAACTTTTTTTCTCGTTGTTGTGAACAACACAACTACTTTTTAATTCGTGCAGTTTTTGGTACACATAAAAATAAGGAGATGTGATATGATTGCCAATAAGAAAACTATCCACCAAAGTTCAAATAGAGTGGATGAAAGCAATTATAGGCATCCGCACGGCCTTCAACAATGAGAAAAACCCATACTGTATAGTCGGTTATAAAAGGCCCCGACATGAAAAATATGAAACAATTCAATTGAGAAAACTAACGGTCTAATTTATAACAAAACAATTTACAAAAACCAGATATGACAGACATGAACCAAAGACAACCATTGAACTACAGACTCCTGACATGGGACAGGCACATAAAGAATGTGGCAGGGTTAAACATTGTGAGCGCTCAACCCTCCACCTAACCTGGGACAGTGGTGTAACAGCACAACATAAGAACAGACTATAAAAATCAGTTGAAAAAGGCTTCACTCATCAGATCGATACAAAGCAGAAAAAACATCAAACAAAAACACAGACAGGACGTGACAGGGTATTTATCCATCACTCATCCCTAACAACAAAAAGGACACTAAGTACAGATCTGAGAGTTCTCGCAGTTACTGACAGCTAGTTCAAAGCAACTAATAAAAATAAATTCATGTATCTTAGGCTGATGATTGGTAATTTGTTATAGCGTGTCCTCTGAGAATTTATTGAGTGCATTCATATCATACATCATCACATTATATATTCACATTTCATATCACTAATACTTTTATGGAAATAAAGCTGCTTTCTTTTTTATTAATTTTCTTTCAAAATTCCAATCTCCATAACGAAGATATATATATGCCTGTGTTTGAAATATTTGTATTATTTTAGACGTATCTTTTATATATTTGTGTGCATTGTTTGGTTTAATTTTTAAGGACTCTGTAAGAATGATCGTTAGTTATTAACTACTTTCAGGGAAAAACAAGGACTCTGTGCTCCATACCTATCTTATCGTTGGGCTCCAGGCTCAACAATATACGCTTCGTAGTTCTTTAAAAATATATTCAGGCTCCTGTCTCCACTGAAAGGGCTCTGGGCCCAAAGAAAAGAGATCCAAGCTCCATTGATGGAGCTTAGAGCTCTGGTGGTAAAGATCAATAACTGTGGAGGTGGAGCAAGTGTTATTACCATCAAGACGCGCTATATTAGATAATATATCGCCAAATCAATTATCTTGATGATTCGACATAGATATAAAAATGAGAATGGAAACGAGGAATTTGTCAAAGAGACAACAATCCGACCAAAGAACAGAAAAAAACTCAAGGCCACCAATGGGTCTTCAAGACAGCGAGAAAATCCCGCACCCGGAGGCGGGCTTCAGCTACATATTTGTACTGGCTTCCGAAGCTGCACAAAGCACCTTACACATACAGATTTATTTCGTCTTCAAGCCATTGTTCCACTACTAAACTGTCTATTCTACTTACTAGTACACTTGGCACAATCAAAACCTGGTAATGAATTGTTCAAATAAGGCCTTTGAAAATAGTGGAATTAATTACTTTTGGATTGTCAAAAATATGTTGGAAGTACTTGATAATTTGCATATTGGTGATTTCGAATCTGTTCAAAGTTTTGATTTTTTCTACACTATATACCACTTTGCCTCATAATCTCAGTAGGGAAAAATTCACACATTGGCTACGTAGTGGTGTAGGGGGAGGGTTGAGATCTCACAAAACATGTTTAACCCCGCCGCATTTTTGCGCCTGTCCCAAGTCAAGAGCCTCTGGCCTTTGTTAGTCTTGTATGTTTTTTTTAATTCTAGTTCATTTATATGTTTCGGAGTTTAGTGTGACGTCCAATTTCGATGAACTAGTACACATTATTGTTTAGGGGCCCGCTGAAGCCCGCCTCCGGGTGCGGGATTTTCTCGCCGTGTTGAAGACCCATTGGTGGCCTTTGGCTATGTTTTGCTCTTTGGTCGGGTTGTTGTCTCTTTGACACATTCCCCGTTTCCATTCTCAATTTCATTGATATGAATTAACATCTTATTTTGATTTTATACATTGCATAAATGTATATTTAATACAGTAAAATGTATAGAACAGTTTATTAATTTTTTTTTTTTTTTTAATTTCTAGTTTTGTTTTTGTTTTTTTTTTTTGGGGGGGGGGGGGGGTACTTTTCAAAAAGAAGATCTACCATACCATTAACACCAACAATATAAAATACATCGCCCAAATCTAGACGAGTGAAGAATTTTAGAAGAGAATGTCGAAGATCTACGATACCGCCAACACTTCCTTAAAGAAATAGATTATATGATGACATAACTACGTGTAAAGACAAATACTTGCATGGTTCCATGACAGGCACATGAACACGCGTCAGATTTTAATTAGCTAGTATTGTAATAAATTGACTGAAGGAGCTTTGACCAGTACAATGTTTTAGTTAGTTATGATCGTGCTATAGCGGAAGAGGACACGTGAACTTCTATACAGAACTTGTTTCCATGTGTACTGCGCATTGTTCAGAAAGTAGAACACTGGCATCAAACATCCGCCTTTGTGAACATGGTAATAATAAAGAATCATGAAATCATGTCTTATCTAGAAATGTCTTGTTATCAAGAAATGTTAACCGAACGAGAGAAGACCGATCATGTTCAAAGGTCTCGTGAAAGATCACAGATAAATACATAATTATAGTAGTTCCTACCTGACCAGAAAATACATTGATCTCTTAATAAAGGTTAAATATATATGATTTATAACGTCAATGATACAGAAACCCAACAACAAAATTAACCAATTAAAAAAACCAATTTATGTGGTACAATCTATGAGAGGACAAATGTATGGGTTTATATTTTATGCTACGTACCTTCTACATGTCCATTATGCTAACAAGCATGCAGTTGTTGAATAAGCTTGCAGTATCTCTGTATTTTCACACATTTTAATAAATGCATTAATTTCGTTTCGTAATAGACAAATTGAATAAGGTTATTTGAAGTTTTGCACATTTGAAAAGAGTTGTGGAAGATACCAAAAGATATTCAAACTCATAAGTCGAAAACAAAATGACAATGCCATGACAAAAAAAGAAGAAAAAAAAGACAACAGTATACAAAACACTAATCCAAATCAGTTGGTGATCTCAGGTGCTCCGGAAAGGTGAGCAGACCATGGTCCACATGTGGCATCCGTCGTGTTGCTCATGTAAGTACGAACCCCGGTGATAAGTATAATTCGGTAGGTCACATTCGAGAAAAGAGCACGGGATTGTAGTTACGACAATTGGAACATATCCGTCATCATCACTCGTAATGGAGTCCGTAAAATTTTGGAAGGAATTATTTGAACTTCAACACTTGAAACTCTTGGTTTAATTGCCAATTTAATTTGCTTGCAATCTATACATCAAATATATGAGTTTAAGTACACCTATTTTACTTTTTCTCAAGAATATGATTTCTTTTCGATATTCTGATGGAGGTCTGACTTTAATAATTGAACTAGAAGTTTACTAAATTCAGTTGTTTGCGCATGTATGTACCGGCTACCAAAATATCATAAGAAAGTTGAAGTCGCATGATCAAATTCTTTACGAAAGATAAGCAAAATTCTGGCATGATATGCAAATTTGGTCCCAAATAATGATATATAAAAGACGGGACGATACGGATCAAGTCTATTCTTCAAGATTTCAGTACAGGTAAATCATTATTCTGCTTGTTGGGATTTATAAGGCTTCGGACACGTCAAAAGAAAGTTAGAAACAAACTTGGATATGATACATGTGTAGATATTTGTTATTGGAACTCTATAGTTTTACTTTGATAGAATTAATGCTAATTGTAAGCGTAATAACAAACGGTAAACTGCATATGACACTTTCCTGAAGTATTACAATAGCTGTTTAGAATCATTTCTGACATGTTATGATTTTTCTTTACGTCGGGTTTTATCTTTTTTTTAATGAACTATTCTGCATGTAACTACATGTAAGAGGACGTTAATCATATGTAATTACTACACTTTTAGAAATGTGAATATTGTTTGAAAACTTTTCACACAATTCATTATAAAGTATTGTAAGTTTATATATATTTATTTAAACAATTCAAAGCAAGAGCCGACTTAGTAGTCAATGCCCATATAGATTAGATAAAATATTGGAGGTAAATCAAACGACTAGCAAGGGTGTACTTGCATTTTTATCGCGTACAATTTTTCGGATACACTTAACATTAAAAAAATATTACCTCAGACCTGCTTTAACTGGTTTAGAAAAACGCGTTTATGGAAACTAAAGACATACTTTTTGAAAAGCCCCTCCTCCAACAAAAAGTAATGAATAAATGAAAAAAAAATTAATAAACGTCTATAAAAACAAAATCTGTCTAAGACCAGCTGGAACCCATATGGAGCACACAGCCTCTACGGCGTAGTGTCTTCGAAAAAAATAATAAACAAACCAATACACACAACTGAATAGTAGATACGTCTTATATAATATAGATATTTCACAAAACTAAGCAGTGTAACAGTTACCTTGACAAAAATGGAGACCATGGCTTGTTACATACTTAGAAATGTAAAATGGCGACCAAGGCTTGTTAAACATATTTAGACATGCAATATGTTAAATCATTTATCTAACACCATAGACAAATTTTCGTTTTTTTAGATTTCACCATGAAGCTTTATTTTCTTGTATTGGTGTTGGCCGTCGGAAGCCAGGGATTCCTGTTAGATGATTTGAAAGAAACTTTCCACAAAGTTGGAGATGCATTCACAGCAACCTTCCATACAGTTGGTGAACAGGCTAAGCAAGTAGGGACCTCACTTTTGGGTTCACTGAAGGAACAAGGCTCGAGCCTTCTGGGTCAGACTGTACAAAGTAAGAATTCATTATCAGTACAAATGAGTTAGTTCAATTTAATGTTTATATTCACATCATTGAGCTTAAGAGTCAGAACTTGTTTTGTATGGAATTTCAGCAACAGCACAACCGACATTGCATTGTGGCCCGAAAAACGTTTGCAACGGTTTCGTGTTCCATAACCAATTTTCCTTTTTCATAAACATGAACATTAAAAAAATACTTGGAATGCTTTGAAACTGACCACAAAAGGGTCATGTTCATTTCACTCATTTTGAAACATAATTGAAAATTTAAAAGTATAAAAAAACCTGAGAAAATAACCCTTACCCACTTTTCATAATGCCGCCTTGGTTAACGATTATATTTCAGAAAGGCTCTTCGGACGCAACGAACTTTTCAATTTTTAAACCTGATAACTACAAAAACGTTAAAAACGCAAAACAAAGCGTTAAAGCATAGAAACTCGGAAGACAGAGGAAAATATTAAAAAACAAAACAAAAGCTAGAAAAATGTTTTTGTTTTAATACGAAAATCCTTTTTTTCAAACTGCACCACTAGAAATGCATTCTCTTAACAAATACAACGCTGTTTTAGGTCTATTGTTAGGAGGCATGCAAGCTTTACAAAACACCCAGGTGACTCCTGCTGGTAGTAAGAGGAATTTAGAAGCACAGTAAGTTCTGTTAAACCTATCAAGAGAATAGTTTTCAAAACATTATATTGTTCCATCAATACATATTATATAAGACAAACAGGAAAGATGTTATCCCATAAGGAGACATGTGAATCCAGACTCTGAGCAAACAATTTTTTTCCAATTTTAACGGATTTGGTATTACACGGCCGGGATAAGAAAACATAACAAACCTCTTACAAGGCAAGCGCGCTACAAACAGATTAAAAGATAGAGCTGGTACATGTTTACAATCGCAATATCTGAAGGATATGCAGAATACTTTTTCAGTCATATCAGTTCATGCATTTTCATTATGAGTGATTTGAAATGCGTATTTAAATTTCTTGTTTATTATTTATAGCTAGAAAAAGTTAGATTTGTAAAGCACATAAAAATCAAGCGACGGCAACTAAAAACATGATATTTCATATGTTAATATAGTATTAACGACGTACACCATCTTTGATTCGTAATTAATGCCCCTTCTCTAATTCCATTGGTCAGATCTATTACATATGTCACTTTCTCTTGTGTGAGGGTCTGGATGGTGGTCTTCATTTCCGTATTCTTTCATTTCATTTGGCATTGTCCTCTTTTTTTGTACTGAACATGCACGAAATATTTGCTTCTGGACTTTAAACAACCAACAATTAATATTTTTTTTTTTATATTTTAGCATCCCATCTTTCTCATTTTTTTGTTTTCCCATTATTCTCTACTCTTTAAACCCAACCAGACCCTCCTGTATTTATTTCGCAGACAATCGTATCTACATGTATTCGCAACGGTCTGATGACTAACCTTCACAAAGATAAAAGAAACCTACAGAAGAAATGATCCTGCCAACTGACTACATACAGCTGCATCCGTATTGAAAGCTTTTATGATTGTATTCTTGTTTGAGTTTGGCATTTATTTTTCGGCAAACAGAATTTGAGCCCTTGCAATTCATTAATTTTTTTATATATTACTCGTTTTACCTATTTTTTCCATTCAAGAATTCTTGAAGCTGAGTTGAAAAGTATCCTTGCGGACAAATTAGGAAAATACCAGACAACTTTCAACAGTGCCATTGATACTTTGACAAAACTAGGAGCTCTCTCTCATAGTACCGATCCTACAAAATTGGTAGAAGCTGTTGATGAAATCGTCCGTAAGTATATCGTCTATAACATCTTTGTTATTCTCCTTATTTATTTGAATCAATATTGTTTTCAAATATTACACTTTGTTCGTTTTTCCCCAAAATATCCTTACATCACCATTAAAGACGGAATAAAGGAATCCATATATTCTGAAATTTCAAATATAATTGAGGACTTTAATTCTAAACCTTATACATGTATTTGTTCATCGTCAACATACAAATATAGTCTCATGGATATGGCAGATGACTTTTCGATTGTCAATCATAATAATCTTCGTGAATTGTTGACCAATGGCCCAAAATATCACTAATTCCTGCCCATCAACTGGTAATGGAACACCTGTTGTCTGATTTTATTTAGGACTATGCAAAAAATGAGCGAAATAGGTGACTTTATGGAGCCATAGATATTGAAGATAGGAATGTATTCAGTTCGATATTCAAAGATAAAGCATTTCCTATTATTTTTGAATTCCCCATTGACTTAAAATTAAAAAAAAACAAAACAAAAACACCAATATCATACCTGATCATCATGTTCTCCGTCGTCTTGGAATGATAACAGCCTTGTGTGGTCAATAAACTTTATGTATCAAAAAACATATCTAATTCTAAATTCACTTCTCTTTACTTTGTATTTGTCTTGATGAAATTCTTTATTTTATAGTTATGCTAATACCTTATTCCTTTGTTATATATGCATGTGTGTTTATGCAGTTGTACTGTTATCAGCATTGGTATTTGAAGAAAAAAAAAAGTTTTTTTTTATATTTTGTATTTGTTTCTATTTTGCTTTTGACTTCCTATGTTGTTTTTTCAGACTCGCACAATACAGTGTCCAACAAATTATTAAAAGAACTTATTCAGGAAATTCAACAGAGTTTGGGAAAATCCCTTAATCTTAACAAAAGAAATGCTTTAACTGATTTACTCGGACAAGTTGGACAAAATCTAGCACAATTTTTCCAACCTCATCTTGAGGCAGCTAAAAACGTGAGTCATATAACTATACTATATAAGTTGAATTACGAATCGCTTCAATTAAATATACATTCTGTTCATAGTTAAGATTCACGATTCATTATATAGTAGACGAGTTACAGAAGTTGGAAATCATATACAAACTTTAAGTTGGGTATTATTTAAAATACTCTTTACCACAAAGTTTTAAATTATTTACGAGTAAATCTAATACATTGTACATAGTATTTGTCGGAGATTTCAAGTAAAGCGTCATGAGAGGGTTATTCCATCCACTTGCAGTTTTTTTTTCGAATGTAGTTATATGAACATTCTTACCATTTCAGCTTGTCAATGGTCTCGGCACCGTAGTAAAGCAAACAGGAACAGATGTCGGCCCAGCCATCCAACCTCACGTTGACGCTTTGAAAACCTCCGGAGCAGCCTTATTACAACACGGACAAAATGCACTTGCTGCTTTGAAAGATGCTGTAACTGATGTTTTACGTAAGTAATAAGAAAGGGGCTATATAAAAAAGAACAAGTAATATGAGACCGGTTGATCTGAAGTGCTCCGCACGGAAAGGTCCTTCTCCACTAGTTTCCCCATTGTGTTACTATTGGCAGATAAAACCCGATGATAACTTTCACCAGGATGCGTCTTAAACAAGGACAGGAATATTGAATTGTCGCAGTGACTCCTATATTCCATATAAAAGCTAGGATATGTGGTATGATTGTCAAGGATACAACTATCTACCAGGTGACGTGTTTGTAAGCGTACAGCAAAACCCATACTGCATTGTCAGCTATAAAAGGATTTAACTTGACAAAATATATAAGAAAAAAACTGCGAGGTCATTAATGATAAAACAACAAACGAAAAACAAATATAACAGACAGCAACCAACGACAACCACCAAATTGCAGGCTAAGGACAGACACATAAAAAAATACCAGGTTAAACATGTTTGCGAGCGCTGAACCCTCTCCTAACCTGGAACAGTGGTGTAACAGCACAACATGAAAATAAAGTGTAAAACTGTAAAAATCAGTTGGAAATGGCCATTAAATAGCCCAATGATTATTTCGTTTAATTAATGCTTAGTTTTCACCATATGAGCATTCACAAATGATTAGATTTTTTAATGAACGACTGCTGCTATTTGTTTTATTCACCCCTCCCCTCATTCCATATAAGTTTTAATGGACGATTGCTGATCTTCATATTCAGTGACCCCCTCCAAAACTTAAAAAAGATCAAATCATTTAACCAATTCATTTCATGTATTTAACATCCATATCTATTTTATTACAGACCAGACACTGGTAAATATAAAGCCACATTTAGTAAATGTTGTACAACACGGAACTGCACTTGCCTCCCAAGCTGGTGGACAGTTTGTTAATCATCTAAGCAGCCACTTATTATCTAGTTTAGGAGCAGCAACGCCAGAAGCTTAAACGTTATGAAAAGGATTTTTTAAAAACACCAATAAAAAAATAAACATGAATATATATGTAGAGTGTAGGTTCATATTCACTGGCATTGAAGTTGGGCCGAGGGATGAAGTTGTTTAAAGTTTGTTTTTGATCCCATTTACCACTATCTGTGGTAACATTTTTGATTACCTTTTTTGTCTGTGTATTTGCTTAAATGAAATTTCAGAAATCAGATATTTGCATACAACACATTATTGTAACTAATAGAAATATGTCTGAATTAAAGGAGATGTGGGGCATGCGTAAATGAAACAGCAACCCAAGGAAAAAAAATAAAAAAAATATGATACATAATATGTTTAGCGAAAGTATCACTCGAAAATACCGTTTTTTTATGAAAATTCATTAATATTAAAACGCTCAAGTATTGTTCCATACTGAGCTTGCGATGTAGTTCTTTATGTATAATCTTGGGATCAATCAAAGGATATTAGTAATTGTAAAATAACTTTTATTTGGTTTCTCGGGCAGACGTTTCTTATCTGTAATTTTCTCTTCTGAAAGTTATAATATGTCACGTCAATAAACAGTAAAAAACCAGGACGCAATAGAAAGGTATGTCGAAGGAAGGCAAACGCGAAAGTAAACGACAAGAGACAAACGACACTTTGCATAATAGATACATAAATAAAATAAATAAATTATAAATAATCCTTATTTCAAGAGGATAAACCCATTAGTTAAAACTAATCTTCCTGAGAGTCCTCAAAATAATAATAACATATTTATAAAGTACATACAATGATAAATAATAATAGATAAATGTTATTCGTCAATGAAACAACAATGCATCAACGCTATCACATATACACTTACCTGAAAGGCAACAACACACATCTTAGTGGCAGCCTACAGCTTGCACAAATACACAAGTGTCTTTACAATCACACATACACTTACCTGATAGGCAACAACACACATCTTAGTGGCAGCCTACAGCTTGCACAAATACACAAGTGTCTTTACAATCACACATACACTTACCTGATAGGCAACAACACACATCTTATTGGCAGCCTACAGCTTGCACAAATACACAAGTGTCTTTACAATAGGCACGTCGGGTGCAAAGGAGAAGGTATGATAAGGCCACTTGTTTTGCCCCTTGAATTGGAAAAGCAAAAAGCATCATAAATCTACCAAATAATATCATTAAGATGTTCATAAGACATAAGTCTGCCATACACCAGTATCAAGATGTATATAAGCCATAAGTCTGCCATACACCAGTATTGAGATGTTCATAAGACATAAGTCTGCCATACACCAGTATTGAGATGTTCATAAGACATAAGTCTGCCATACACCAGTATTAAGATGTATATAAGACATAAGTCTGCCATACACCAGTATTGAGATGTTCGTAAGACATTAGTCTGCCATACACCAGTATTAAGATGTATATAAGACATAAGTCTGCCATACACCAGTATTGAGATGTTCATAAGACATTAGTCTGCCATACACCAGTATTGAGATGTTCATAAGACATTTGTCTGTCATACACCAGTATGGAGATGTTCATAAGACATTTGTCTGCCATACACCAGTATTAAAATATTTTGATTTTTTGTCTTTAATATTTGCATTAGACTTCAAACGTCTTAGATTTATTGTAAAACTGGATAAACTGCCAAAAATAGCCTCATTTTGATATCTTGTCATTACCAAAATAGCCTCATTTTGAGATCTTGTCATTAAAATTTAGCAACAGCTTTTCACAAAAATATATTTTTTTTACAATATGTACTTTACATTGATGTAAATGTGTGTAAAATATCTTTTTTGGTAAGGCTGCTGCTCATATCTAATTTGTCCAAAAACTGTGCGTAAAATTGTAATTTTAGCTCAAATATGTTTATGACATAAGAGTGACATTACAAGTGAATTTTCTGCACTAAAGTGTCCAGATTATATTCATTTGTTCATTTATCAATAGAATTAACATAATTTGGAAAGGCTAAAGTAATTTTACCATTTTTGCAATTTAAGGGGCCAAATAATGGCTCTGATCAAACCCCTTCTTTAATAGAGATGGCAAAATATCTGCCATCACCTAATTATTTAAAGCCTAAACACTGAAATGATACCAAGACAGTCATTGATGATGTTGATGGACTTGCAAATATACTTACATTTGAAAAAGTTAATCTAGTATACCATTTTATTCTCGATCATTCGATAAGTTACACAAAAAATATATTTACTCATCCGCTGCATGATGCACCATTACTGTTTATGAATAATCAATGGATTTTAATATAAGTTACATGACAGTTGTCAATTGCCGAGTAGGAACTAACTGCCGCCAATGGAGCATCTGTTTGTATACTCAGTTTCAATTTGCACAATCTTTAGTTTTTTGTGTGCATTGCCTTGGGGATTGTTGCTTGTATTTTTCTTACGGCTAAGTTTTTATGTGTTTTTCTTCGACTTATAATCTTAATGTTTTATAGCCCCCTCTACTACTTCTTAGTATCTTGATCCTTCTTTAGATTGATACTATATGATAGAAGGCCTGAAGTTATTGAAATCAAGATCGAAGCTGAGTAAATAAATACTATGTCATAATCAAAGTGGTTTGCTGCATTTCATTCTTAACATATGTCGGAATAGAGTTGTTGGAGAGGCGTCCCATTGGCTATCATACCACACCTTCTTATTTTTCAAACAACTTATTTCCAGAACTATTGAATATTATGTTAGTACTTTAGAGAATAAGAATTTCAATGAATACACTGTTGGGAATATAACAGTTTATCAAACAAAATACATGTAAATACTCATAATTTAAAGCACCAATATGTCTATCGTAATAATGTGACAATAAATCTACAGTTGCTCACTGAGGGTAGCCAAACTTTAACATACGAGGAAAACTGTGAAATCTTTAAAGAAGTCTTTGAATATATAAAAAAATCAAAAAGATTCCTTGTAGTATAATCAAATAAGATATGAATAAACAAAAACACCGTGTCCACAGAATTTCATTTATTCATTTTTTTTTATATTTGTGATTTCTTATTTTTTCTTTTTTTCTTATATTTATATTTTTTCTTTTTTTTTCTCTCAATTCTCTTTCATTTTTCTTGTTAATTGTGTTTGGCTTTTTTTTTTTTCTCAGACTGTGCAAATGCCTCATTTTACTATTACCTTTAATATATATATACTGAACTGTGCATGCTCTGTATAATTGTTATTGTAATATTATGTAAAGGAGAAGACTTCATAAGTTAGTTAAACTTGTGTCCGATCCTTTTTGTATCTTTGAGCAAATAAAAATTGATATAAACTAAACTATGTGTCTATCGCTGTTCCTAAACACAAGGAATATTCATTGTTTTGGAAATTGATTTAAATGTTGTTTTTTTTTCTTCTGTTATAGTGACAACTTACTATTAATTGACTATTTTTGTCAAAACATGATTTGTTTCTTGTTTTATTACCTTCTTACTATTTCCAATGACTTTATGGAAATAAAAGTTATATAATTATAATATTTATACCAATGGCATCATCTTATGGAAAACATATGAAATTTTCGTTTTGAAAATATTGCTTCGAGTTAAAAGTTCCTTCAATAATAAAAAAATGTTATTTCAGATGGGAAATTACGACATTTTCAAAGAAACTAATTACGAAATTAAACATCCTTTGGAAGGATATTGAATACTAGTCGACTAGATCAATCAGCTTAGGTATAAAGTATTTCCGAACTTTTATTATTTCACTCATTATCTTGAAAACCAATAATAACACAGCATCACAATCATACTCCCCGGCAGTTCTATCTCCGATCCGCATACTACTCTACAATAATGGAGTAAGGGAAAATAGTTCCGGAACAGAATCGATCAATGTAAGGATCTTAAAAGACAGAAGATACCTGATTCACTGAACTCATAGGAGGATCAACATACCAGCTTGTTATTGAAAAAAAATTATAAAACTGTAAACTACATAATTACATTTTAATGAATGGACGGATTGAAAAGAATTGAAAATGGCTTTGAGCCAAGCAAGTAAGATAAAGAAAGCTGCCCGCAACTGGAAAGGAAGGATTACACAAATATGAGCAATAAAACTGAGGACCTTCCAGAATTTCTTCCTTCTAGTAAAAATATAACCATTATCATTACACTCACAACTTTAGTTCTCGTGACAATTATAGGAAACTTAATAGTTTTGCTAGCTTTCATAAAAGAATCAAAGCTACGAAAGGAAGCTTTCAACTATTTTATATTCAATCTAGCAATAACGGACTTTTTAGTAGCTATAACAGCCATGACATTTTACACGATAGATACAGTTTTAGGATACTGGCCTTTTGGACCAGCCATGTGTGCCTTTTGGATATATGCCGACTATGCCATGACTTTTGCCTCGGTATTCACCTTGACCGCCATTTCAATTGACAGATTCTGGTCGGTGACATGGCCCATCCATTACCGAAATAATTCAACAATTAAGAAGACGATCATTATGATAGCCATTGTATGGTAAGTATGCATTTACTCTTTAGTTTGCATTAACTTGATCCCAAGCATACATTGCCTTGGAATTTTTGTTTTCAGTGCTCCTCAACTTCTTTACTGATTTTGCCTTCCAACTGTTTTTGATTCGAGCGTCACTGGTGAGTCTTATGTAGACGAAACGTGCGCCTGAAGAACCAATTAATTAGCCGGAAATTTTTATCCGTTTTTTTAATATGTATACTTTCGTCCACTATCGGGTCATTTGTGCATTATCTTACTTTGACTTGTTAAGTTGGACCTCTAGGGTGAACTATGTTTTAAACTGTGATCACTCCCGGGGAAGCCCATAAGGTACTAGAAGGTACAAAGATAGACCATCACAGGATCGGTCAAACAACGTGATAAGGCAATATATTGTCCGTACCCATGTCCGACAAGAAAATCGGAACACAGTAATTGACATTGATTCAAACGTTCGGCACTGGGTTTTATGAAATCGCCTTTTAGAGTATTTTTTAACTTTAAGGCTTATATGTAAAATAACACTATACACATATCTAAAAAAACCAAGAAAATCTAAAAATTCATAAATATCTATGTCTAGACAACTTGAATGGGTTATCAATTCATAGACTTCAATAAAAATATAATACCCAACTTTTTTTTGTATTTATACTAGACTTATACTATGAGATATAGCTGTATACTAAATAACGTGGGCACTTGACATGCTTTGTATTCGATAACGACTGAAAAGTAGTGAGAAACCTAAATTCCATTTCATGTGCATAGTTACGCATTTATTTATACATCAGCGACATAATCTACTTACGCATTTACTTTATCAAGAAACAATACCCTAATGCATTTAATGTTTAAATTTATTACCGTTAATGCTATTGTTGGTTGTGCATTTCCGTTTCGTTATACATAAGCGAATAATTACCCTATTTTCAGTCGTTAACGATGAATAGTTGAACAGTTTCAATATATTCAAAACTTATCAAATACCAAGGAGAAGCATACATCTGTACATTTTCCAGTTTTGCTTCCGTTGTTCGTCCGTTCATCCGTCGATTGACAGTTTTCATTTTGATCATCTTTGAAACTAACGCGTAAATTTGATACAACCTTGGAAGCAATACTCCATGGTGGATTCCTTATAAAAATTCTAATTTTGTACCGACTGACCGAGACACTTGCCGCTTAAATTGATCTACTTTTATATTTCTTCTGCTCTGCCAACTTAATGCCAAATCTTTTAAATTCTATAAGAATGATGATTTCGAGATTCTATTAAAACAAAAACGCATTATGTGCTAACCACTGGCATACTTTGGCATGAAACATTTGGACACAGGTTTTCATTGAAGTCTAAGGAAAGTCACGTTCCCTTCATTTCAACTATAACAGTAGTATTAATCTTAAATAACTTGAAATCAGTGTTCAGCTGTACTCAATATTCAGTTGTGTACGTGTCCATTGGAGATGAAGAGAGAGGTAACTTCACACGAAACAATTAAAGTCGGGCGTCAAGGACTAAGCCTAGCTGGACTAGTAACTTTGTGTATTTCAAGCCACAGTAGGTGTTGTGGTTTTGACTGCTCTAGCGTAATGTATTCAAATGTGCCATCTCCTATCAACACTTTACACACATGCTATTGAAATACAATGATTTGTCTTTTATCGAGTCAAAGAGAAGGGTCAGACATCCTCGTCCTTTGAATCTGGGGGATTTAAAGAGAAGGGTCTGACATCCTCGTCCTTTGGTTATCTGGGGGATTTAAAGAAAAGGGTCTGACATCCTCGTCCTTTGAGTTCTGGGAGATTTAAAGAAAAGGGTCAGACATCCTCGTCCTTTGGTTTCTCGGGGATTTAAAGAAAAGGGTCTGACATCCTCGTCCTTTGAGTTCTGGGGGGATTTAAAGAAAAGGGTCTGACATCCTCGTCCTTTGGTTTCTCGGGGATTTAAAGAAAAGGGTCTGACATCCTTGTCCTTTGGTTTCTGGGAGATTTAAAGAAAATGGTCTGACATCCTCGTCCTTTGGTTTCTGGGGGATTTAAAGAAAAGGGTCTGACATCCTCGTCCTTTGGTTTTTAGGGGATTTAAAGAAAAGGGTCAGACATCCTCGTCCTATGAGTTCTGGGGAATTTAAAAGAGAAGGGTCAGACATCCTTGTCCCTTGGTTTCTGGGGGATTTAAAGAAAAGGGTCTGACATCCTCGTCCTTTAAGTTCTGGGGGATTTAAAGAAAAGGGTCTGACATCCTCGTCCTTTGGTTTCTGGGGGATTTAAAGAGAAGGGTCAGACATCTTCGTCCTTTGAGTTCTGGGGGATTTAAAGAGAAGGGTCAGACATCCTCGTCCTTTGGTTTTTGGGGGATTTAAAGAAAAGGGTCTGACATCCTCGTCCTTTGGTTTCTTGGGAATTTAAAGAAAAGGGTCTGACATCCTTGTCCTTTGAGTCCTTGGGGATTTAAAGAAAAGGGTCTGACATCCTCGTCCCTTGGTTTCTGGGGGATTTAAAGAGAAGGGTCTGACATCCTCGTCCTTTGAGTTCTGGGGAATTTAAAGAGAAGGGTCAGACATCCTTGTCCTTTGGTTATTGGGGGGATTTAAAGAAAAGGGTCAGACATCCTCGTCCTTTGAGTTCTGGGGGATTTAAAGAGAAGGGTCAGACATCCTCGTCCTTTGAGTTCTGGGGGATTTCAAGAGAAGGGTCAGACATCCTCGTCCTTTGAGTTCTGGGGGATTTAAAAGAAGGGTCAGATATCCTCTTTTGATTTCTGGGGGAATTTTCATCACGTTGCCAATGATACCACATGTCCTATTTATTTTTTTGCCAATATTTTATTGAAAAGCTGTCATTTCGCCTTTTGGATTACATGTGTTTATCAACATAGCGCTGAATTGTCTGCTGACTCTGTTATATTACGCCATTTATATTTAAGCCAAGATGCTCTTTATTTTCCACGGATGATACATTATTGAACATAAGGGTTCTAAATATGGTTACTTTGGATTTTGTTTTATCAGTTTTAAGTCGTAGTGTGGCATATTTTATGGGTTTGGAAATTCATGTTCCAAGTGAAATCTCGGGATTCTGAGGTTATTTTCCTTTTTGAGTACAGCATGAACTTTGAATATTTTGGGATATACCTTAATATGTATTTGGTGTTTTTGCTTCAATTTCTTGCATAGAAATTCAGTTTGTGGTATTATCCTCACTTTTTGAATCTATGCTTTGTTTTTGTGTTATTTGAACGGATGCCAAGTTGGTTCAATATTGAAAATTCAACATTCAACAGTCATATTTTTTTTCTTCTTTATAAATTCCTTTTTTTCAATTCTTATTATTTTTTTTTTATTTTTAATGTTCATATTTAACAACATTCGATTTAAACATTCAATATTCAAATTTTCAATATTCGTTTTTTTTATATTCAACATTCAACTTCAATATTTAACATTCGTTTTTCAACATTCAACGGCCCACAAGAGTGACTGGGGATTAGAAATATGGTCACCGTGCTTAGATCGTCTTCCGATCGGCATTAAAACCCTGCTCAATTGGCCGTCCGTTTGTCTGTGCAGGGTGTACAAGTACGCAGCTACGTCCGGTCAAAATGGAAACGTTAAATCCGTGTAGAAAGAGTGTCGTGGGTGAACTGTTGTAAGTCAAATTTTCTGTCCCTATCTAATATACCCTCATTTTCAAGTGGCAGTCAAATTTCCCCGACCTTTATCCACGTGCCTTTATCACAGAAAGCCCTTTTACAGGACCTACATATTGTATTTATTATTAATTTGTTCTGTCCTAAACATGAAATATTTGCCACTGGACGTCAAGCAACCATCAATCAATCAACATTCGTTTTTTCAACATTCAACATTTGATTTCAACATTCAATAATCGGTTCAACATTCGATTTCAAAATTCGATTTATGACAGTATATATTCAATATTTAAACTTTTTGTGGAGAGTTGCCTCATTGGCAATCATACCACATCTTATTTTTATATTTCAACATTCGATTTTAACATTTAACATTTGATTTTAATATTCATCATTCGTTTTTCAACATTCAACAATCGATTTCAACATTAATTAAAAATTAAAAAACTGAATAACACAAACAAATGATATTGTTAGCTAAACTGTAAACGCTTTCGGTCGTTCATTCGGCTCTTTAGACAGTAATTGAACGTTGTTATATGTATCGTTCGATATTCCGGAGTTTGCGATAAAAGAAAAAGGATGAAAACATTAACTTTTTTTTTTTTAGCCGACCCCGTCACGTGATTATGAAATCGAAAATCCTGTCAGCAGCTGCTTGTACCGCGTTGTGTTTTCTTTTTATTAAGAATTATTTTTGGTCTTCTTTGTTGAATTTAATAAAATTACAGCTTGTTTAAATTTCAGTTTGAGGCACTCGTCCATTTTTTTTCTCAAGTTGAAGCAATGTTTTATTTTTTTTTTATAATGAAGTTTCTTTTTATTTGCACATGAACATAATAGTAAGTTATACAAATTTTCTGCATAATATAATATAAACACAGAAGATATACAACATATAAAAATAGACACAGCTGAAATAGTTTGATACATTGCAGAGTATGATTGCAAGACAAAGGTTGCTCAGATAGATAGTCCATATTCATAATTTATACAACATATGGTGTCTATTGTTTATCTTTGTTGTTATGACAATAAAAGAGTCCAGGGGTTACAGCAGTTCTCCCCCCTACTGAGTCATTTATTTTTATAAAAAATATATTTTTCTATTAATAAGTTTTCTTTTAAATAATTTTTTAGCGATATCATATTGGTTTGTTCCAATGATAATTTGCTTCTATTAATATAGAATTTTGTTAACAGAATTAGCAAGTTTCTTATGTCATTTTTATCCTTTTTCGTTAGAATACCAAATAAAACCAAATCTTTATTTAAAGATAGTTCTATTTCTATCTTCTCAAATATCCAGGAGTTAAGGTCTTCCCATAATTTCGATATATACAGACAA